AAAGACGTTTCTTTTTCACAGCCCGGCTAAGAACTGTTAAATTATACTTTGCTAGATTGCAACCTTGTTTCTGGACTTGGAAAAGCAAAGTGAGGCTTCAGGGTTAGCAAAAGGATGAAAGTTATCACAACAAAATTAAACCCACCAAATCTGCCTTTCTCAAAAGGCAATAGCTTATAAAACCCTGGTGTTTTGCTTTTTACATAAACTTATCTTACTGTTGTAAGAAGAGAAAAAGCAGTTAATGCATGCAAGCCAGTATCTCCAAAAATGTCACAAAATACAATACATAACTCAGAGTAATCGTATCTTCATGCTTTACATCCACAGCTTTATTAACTCCATTAATTCTTTTGATTCCTGTAAGTTCAAGCAAAGCAATTTGCTTGATTTTTGTTTTTAGTCAATACACATTGACACTTTTGTTTTTTGCCCTTTCAGTTCCCTGCACTTTCTTCCTGACTGCCTTTGTTCTAAAACACCTTTAGATTTTACCTCTACCAATGTGCTGGGGAAAAACACTACTGCACTTTAAACATCATTTCACTCTCTCTTGCCATTTCTCTTTTCTGTAAATTACAAAAGTTGCAAGTCAACTGCCTCAATTCAAAACTTGCTTTCTGTTACATTTAACCTTTCCTTTAACTCACAGATGGCTTACTGAAGACAACTTTGCAATGCTTCAACTTACTCACTTCAGCCTTAACTTGAACTTCAGTTTCTTGTTTTCCCAGGCACTAATTTCTAATGCCGCACAAGATGCAAGAAATGTCAACTCCACTATCCTCTCATGGAGGGAGGTGTAACTTCAAGCTGATCTTTCCCTGCATAGCTTTACGTTATTTCTCATACTTCTTACAGTCATCTCCTGGGGCAGTAGTACACTCCACGCACCAAACACAGGCCCTGAAGGATGGCTGCTTTTACTTCTGCCTTTTCCTACTTGGGGTTATTTAGAAAGGCAACTGTTAGTTACCCCCAGTTTTCCATGGATTGTTCCCATTCAAATTTCTCAGGCATTACATGGCCTTTTCCCATCACATGCCAACATTTTCCCAGTACCATCCAGCATTTCTCTGCTGCGCAGTACCACTTCTGTTGTCCTGTAAGTTGTTGTGTTTACTGGAGAGGAACTATTTGCTGCCTATGAAAGACATCTGATGATGATCCTTCAAGCCTCCATAGGCTTTCAGTATTACTGACTGCTATCCTTCTGACTACACCAAACTGCTGGAATCTAATTGACCATGTCAGTAATTGAGCCAAAATCCCTTTATCAAATCCAAACACAAGAACTGTGATACAGTTACTTTAAACAAATGTTCTAACTAACTGTATATTAGATAGCAGTGTTGCGGCAGTTATTAATGACTTCACTCACACGGTAATTACAGCTACAAGCACTTGATCTGAATACAGGCAGTTCTCGACTTCCAACATTTCGAGTTATAACATTTCATGCTTACAACATTTAGAAATTGACACCCTGTTTCGACTTTCTGACATCAGTTTCGACTCTCTGACGCTTGATCCAATGCGACTCCACATCAGTGAACAAGTTTGCTGCGTCGCTCATCTCCCTGGAGAACATCTGTCCAAACTTCCTTGGACACTTTCTTTAAGAAAGCAGACAAGACTCCAGAAAAACCTGCAGCCAAGACTCCAGTGAAGACGCCAGCCAAGAACCCTTCAAAAAGTCCAACCAAGAGCCCTTCAAAAAGGCCAAAGTCACCTCAAAGAAGTCCTTCCAAATCAATATGATTGCTATTTACAATACAAATGCATTAATGTAGCTATATTACTCATCTATAATTGATCACGTATAAAATTCTGGGGTCTTCTTGGTGAAAACAGAATATGGGGCCTTGGTTCAGGAACCAATCCCCCATTTATAACATTGTTTCTTATGAGAAAATAAGTTCCAAGTTACAATGTTTCAACTTAAGATGTGGTTTTCAGGAACCAATTGTGTCCTAAGTCCGAGGACTGCCTGTACTTACAACCAGGCTAGAGAAGGACATGCTTGCTGTCCCAGGCAGCAGACTAACTCACACTTCCAAGGACCCCTGTTTTATCCCCTTAGATTTCTCATTACATCTTCTGAGTTCCAGAAAGTGATCAGATCTAGCCCCTGACTTTTATATAAGCCTCTCTGACTGTTTCCAAAACACAAAACCTTCTTCTACCATCCTTGTTTTCCTTCAGCCCATTCTCAGGTATACTGGAACCAGGTGACTGGTATACCAGTCTCCTTGCTGTGACTGTCCCGCCTTTCCTAGCTCCTTTCCTTTGTCTAAGGCAGGGTTGACCAACATGTGCATGCAACAAATGACACGGGTCACCTGTGGGTGTGGGAGGGGGCAGGCACCACAGCAGCACATAGGTCAGGAAGCAGAGAGCAGAGCAGCAGATGACACAATGAGACAGAGGAAGGGGATCAGAGTGGCACCTGGGGCTGGTGAGGGCTAATTTGTGACATGTTCAGCAAAGAAGCTGGCTTTCAACCTGTGTGGCTTAGTACCTTCCACCATGACACTGGGCTCTGTTTTCCTGCTTAAATCATGGATTCCTGAAAGTCTGATCCAATGTTGGACAACAGAATATATTCAAACACATCACTACCTAGTCCATTATACCTTCCTTAAGATACCACAACACGATGCCTGCATCGTACGTATCTTACCTCCACAGGCAGCTCACAGGTACAACAGTGAGCCTGGAACTTCGCCCCATAAGCTGCTTTGAAGGACTGCACACTTTCTTTATACTGAACCAAAGCAGTTGCAAAACAGCATCAAGAGTATTGGACTCAACTTAGTGAATCTGCTGCTTTAAAACCAGAGATTTCAACCAGGCTGCGGCGCTGGCAGCAGAAATAAATATTATTGGGGGGGGCTGAATAAATATTATTGGGGGGGCTGACCCTCGCCCCTGCAGGTTTATTGCAGGGCCGGTGTGCACTGGTGCTGTATGCAGTGCTGGAGGAGCAGTGCCGGGTGCTGTGGGATGGCAGTGCTGTGGTGCTGGTGCTGTCGCTGGCTGCTGCAAAATTAGGTGGGGGGGGGGTAGCTAAGCCCCAGCCTTCTGCCACCTATAAACTGTGGGCAGGGCCAGATTAATGCATAAGCAATCTAGGCACATCCCTAGGGCCCTGTCCGCCTCCCTTCCCTTCACTTCCCCTCCCCTTCGCCAGCCTTGCCACTGCAGCAGCTGCTTCCTAGTGGCGGCTCTGAGTCCTACCCCCTGCAGGCAGCAGCACCAGGGTGGGGAGAGGGGTCTTGACCAGCCCCAGGGTCCATGAGTTTGTTTGCCTCAGGCTCACAAAAGCATTCATCCAGCCCTGGCTGTGGGGACACTGCCAGAGCCTTTGAAGGCTCAACATAACTGCTGCTATTTATTAGGTCAGACCTTAGGTCCCTCCAGTCCCGCATCCCGTCCCAGTGGCTCAAGGGCCAGCCGATGCTGTCTAGCATGCTCTGCTCAGCGGCCCCCTTGGAGTAGTTTCATAGTTTCATAGATTAAGGGTCGGAAGGGACCTAGTAGATCTTCTAGCCCGACGCCCCGCCAGGGCGCGAGAACAACAAAAACCCCAAAAACAAGAAACGGGACTCAAATGAGTCCAGCCAGGTAGGCATCCAGCCTCTTCTTAAAGACCCCCAGGGTAGGGGCCAGCACCACTTCCCTTGGAGTACTTCCCCATTGCTCTCCCGGAGCAAGACCCGCCATCCCATCACGCGTCCAACAGGCCCGTGCGGAGCCGAGGTGCGCATCATAGAGGACAGTCTAGTTTTCTGCTACGCTGTCCTCTATCAGTCCGAAACCTGACGCCTTAACGTCCGCTCTTTTTCTCTTCAAAAAGACCCGATGCCTTTATGTCCTCTCTTTTTCTCACCTGATGTTTTTCTTCGAGAAAAAAAACAGAGGACATAAAGGTGTCCAGTTTTATATCAATAGAGGACAACCGGACTGTCCTCTACGATGGCCAGAGAACGGCACCAAAAGGCGGCGGCAGGGGGCAGAGGAGAGCCGCGCATGGGGCAGACCCACGTCCCCTTCCCCTCATGCCGCCAGGGGCTGGTTCTTGACGTCACCCCGCCCCACGCCGTGCGGGATTATGTCACGATTATAACCGTCACTGTTAACAGGCCCCATCCAACAAAAAGAATCCACAAAAAACAAGATTTTCCTAATTTCTGCCTCAATTTATGAACCCTCAACATTTTAATACATGAGGAACACATCCATAGATGAATAAAACCATGTGGAGCCACAGACAACATTTGACAACAGAAAAAATCCAGGGTTTTTTTTTTCCTTTTTATTCTGATTTAGCCGCCCCTCGTGTGGAGAGGCCCTGAACTGTAGTTTCAAGCCTAAACGTGGGAGGGCACTGAGGGAGTGTGACAGTGAGCAAAGAGCAGGATGTGTTACACGTGAGGGTGCATGGGGGAGTGGTGCGGGGTGGTGTTACACACGGGGTGCATGGGGAGTGGTGCAGGGGGGTGTTATACACGGGATGCACGGGGAGCAGTGTGGGGGTTGTTACACACGGGGGTGCACGGGGAGCCGTGCAGGGGGTCTTGTACATGGGAGTGCACGGGGAGCGGCGCGGAGGGGGTGTTGCACACGGGGGAGCACGGGGGGTGTTGCACACGGAGGTGCACGGGGAACAGTGTGGGGGAGTGCTGCACACCGGGGTGCACGGGGAGGGGACAGCCCCTCCCACACTTCCCGCGGGCGCCCCCGGCCCTGTCCGGCAGCGGGGAGAAGGGGAAGTCACGTGACAACCGCGCTCCCCCCACCCCCCTCCGCGGGAACCCCCGGCACGTC